TTTTTCCATTAATCATCTAGTCTCTTGGTTAGCATTTAATTTGTTGGTTGGTTAGAAATGAAAGAAACTACGGACTTGTATGTGATTTTGGGCGCTCTGAAGGTCTTTACATGACCATGATGGACTGAAGGAAGAAAATGTCGAATTGAAATTATGATTTGACCGAGATATACTAGGTCTTTTATCGGTGAGGTTGGTGTCTCCACCTTATCGTGGTGAGGGGGTTTGAGTATGCCAAGGACCCTGAGAGCTATACCAGCGGTAGCGTAGCTACTGGCAGGGCCTCCCTTGCTGGACAGGTCAAAGGGTAGGCATCAGACGAAGAGAGACACCAAAAACCAAAAACTGATGCCGGAAGCAGCGTCATCAGCAGCGACTTGAAGCACAGAGCAAATGATGCTCGAGATGGTTCAAGTTCGTATAGCAACAGGCGTGACCAGAGTGGTTTGAACGGCAGTTGTACTGCGATGTGGAAAGCAAATGGAAAAACTACCACATTATCACTTTTCCTGGATAGTCTCTTTCCAAAAACAGAAGATCACACTAAGTGGAGGAACTGTTTTGGAAGAGATTGTGGACCTGTCGTCTGACAGATTACGGATAAATGAAAATGACCTATAACGATTTTTTTAAAAATATTTGATAATTTGAGATAATGAAATTGGGTTCACTGCACTTTTGTCTTGATTCAGAATGAGGATTGTTTAAGCTTTGCACTGTTGTTTAGTAGAGACTGACACAGGTTTCCAAATAACGCCAACGAGGGAAATTTATTTTTATAAAAAAGTTGTCACGCAAAAGGAATGCGATACTCAGTGTAGGGTCAGGAAACGTCACTTGGCGTGTCAGCCTGTCATTACACTTTCACTGCCTCTCTTGAATATTACAATTTCATCTGGCGTCATATTGTCCGCTAAATCGTTGACTAATGGGGTTTCTCCGTGACGTCATCTAGTGTGTCTCGGGATCGAATCTAGATGGCGGAAACATCTGCGGTCGGGATCAATACTTGAGACCAGTGGGATAGACTGTACTATGGGAAGCATATGTAGCGTTCAGCCCGGACGTAGCCCCAACTGATACCGACTGGCTTCCCCCTGGGACGTCGGGGAAAGCGATGTTATTAATAAGTACAATGGACAATATAATGTGTGTGCCACTGTATGCACAGCGTGTATAGGAGAGATCGGGTGAAACCTTAGACCAGGGCTGTCCAACTCTCGCCATGCC